CAATTCTCCAATTTTCTTTGTTCTTGGTTTTGGGGTGAAGCAAATGAGCAACGAGCTCCTTTAGCTTCCATGCATATTGAGCAACGTTCTTTAGATAACGGCAATCCGAGTATCTTCATACCTCCGTAGTTAAGGTGTCCCATTCTTCTATGCCATAAATTAGAGTTTGTCTTTTCAGTTAGTAATGCACTTTTATCATTCAAATTTAGTGTTATAGTATATAGTTTTCCATTATTTTTACCTTCAACTCTTACGCCCGGACCACTTATCAATGTTTTTGTATAAAATTGAACTTTCAATCCTTTTTCATTCAATTTCATCACAGACAACAGATTGTGTGACAACTGTTTCATTATGAGGCAGTCTTTGATAGTAATTTTAATTCCTTCATTTGATGTAAAAATCAGTTTTCCTTTTCTATTAGCCGATATTAAGTTTCCATTAGCAACTTGAATTTTTATTTCTGGAATTTCTTCTATGTTTACTGGTTTAAGATCTTTATTTCTCATAAGAATTACAATAATTCACTTACTGAGAAACAATATTCACAAAATAGACTTAAAAGCGTGTACAGAAACAAACTTAATTATTAATAGCTTAAAGGTAAACAACAAAAGTACGCAACAATAAAAGCTACAAAGTGGGTATACTGCAAACTAGTTCTAACGAACGCTCGAATGTTATCGACAGTACACGGACGTTGCAACTACACCGCTACTGGATGTGGCACGCACAGCTACGCACAACTTATAAAATATATTGAGTTTTCGTTTATATCTTTAGAAATTAACCAAATACATCACGTAGTATTTATTTTTATTTAGTGTTTATAAGTATGTATGTATAGGTTTTTTTTAATTATTATTATTATTACTTAATTTATGTTTTGTCAAAGATATATGATTTGAGCCTTTTTTTTAAAATAGTCATGCTAGTAGATTCTTTTATTAAAAGTGGCAGCGCGTTGTACATTTTAACCCCTTCGTATTCTATGCTTTTTTTACCGTAGTTAGTTCTGGGTGGACGTGTTACTAGGTAGCTAGAGTTACGTAGCTTGATTTTTTGTGATTCTTGTTTTTTTGTAAATGACAAGGTGGTGTGAATCTTTCTTTAATATTTTTCGTATTAGTATGCATGTATAGTATGTGAAAGTTTGTTTTATATTCATTATCTTTGTGTCGTCATATATTTTTTGTGTGGAAGTCCGGTATTTATAGTTAAATAAAATTTTTATCAGTCTGTTTTGTGCCCTTTGGATAGGTTCAAGAATTGTTCTAGCCGCCGCCCCCCAGACCTCTATTAAATAATCAATGTGAGGTTTTATCAATGAATTATATATTAAGAATCTTACTTTATGGGGGAGACATTTTTTTATATGGTGGAGAGCCCCCGAGAGTGATATTAATTTAGATCTGACACCTTCTATGTGAGACTTCCAGCTCAAGGAGCTATCTAATGTTAGGCCTAAATATCTTTCTTTAGTTTTTCTATGAATTTGTTGATCGTCGATATTAAGCTCAATATTGTCAGGAATAATTTTATTTTTTGCAGCAAATATGACATAATTAGTTTTAGTGATGTTAATTGTAAGGAGGTTTGATTTGCACCAGTTATTTAACAAATTTAAGTCAGTCTTAACGTGCGGTAAAACATCATAAACTGACCGTCCAAAGTAAAAAAGGCTTGTGTCATCGGCGTAAAGCGAAACATCCCCTGTAAAGCCAATTTGGGACATACTATTTATGTAGATGAGGAACAATAACGGTCCCAAAATCGAACCCTGCGGCACACCGAAATTCACAGAGCTGGAAGAACTTTGATGTTCACCTATCTTCACTATTTGCCGCCTATTGGACATGTATGATTTAAAAATGTCGAGTGCTTTGTTTTTAACTCAGATGGCTGATAATTTTTGTATTAATATATCTGGACTAATAGTATCAAAAGCTTTTTTGAGGTCAATAAAAATGCCTAGGGCAACTTGTTTTTTATCAATGTTCGTTTTAATTTTTGTTATGAGGTCTACTGTGGCCGAAAGGGTGTTTGATTGTGGTCTAAATCCGTATTGCTTATGGTAGAAGAAGTTTTTCGAGTTGAGAAACGTTTCTAAGCGGTTATAAAGAATTTTCTCGTAAATTTTTGAGATGGCGGGGAGGACAGATATAGGACGGTAATTACATGGATCTACTTTGCTTCCAGATTTATAAATTGGCACTACTTTTGCTATTTTCAGTTCGTTGGGAAAGATGCCTTGGTCGGAACAGAAGTTAATAGATTGTACCAGTTTAAGAGCAATAAACTTTTCGACACACTTTAGAGTTTTAGTGCTAATGCCGTCAATGCCAGTGCCAGTATTTGGATCTAGGCTGTCTATTATTTTAATGACTTCTTCCTCAGTTGCCGGTGTAATGTATCTCAGTTCTGTTTCATTGTTTCGTCTTGCTTCAGATAAATTATGTTCGCATGTTTCAGCCAAATGTCCTGTAGATGTATTAGCGATGAGATTTGCCAGGGACGATCCGATTGTCGAGAAATAAGAGTTGAGACTTTCACATATTGTCCTATGGTCTGTGATAATACCATTTTCAGTTTCAAGTTTACTAGGTCCATTCATATCTCTTGTTTTGTTTTGTGAGAGATCGTTGACAAGTTGCCACATTTTTCTAGGTTTAGTCATGTTGTCCTTAAAGAATTTGAAGTAATAAGCATTTTTTGTTTGTTGTATATTATGTAATACACTAGCCTTCGTTTTTTCATAACACGTTCTTGCCGTAATATCTAACATATTCGATTTATATAAATGCCATAGTCTATTTCGTTCGTTAATACCATCAATAATTTCTTGTTTTATCCAGTCTCTGCGAGAAGGATTTAATACTTTTATTTTCGTTATTTTACTCATGTTTAAGCCCATCTGTAGCTCTTTGACCAACTTCTCGTAAGTCGGCCCTTCGTGGTTGGTCTTGGGCAGTTCTTCAAAATACTTGAACAATGTTGTGTAATTGATTGCGGTGTATTCTATTTTCGTGACCAGTGGTGGATTGTAGTGCTTAATTTCTACGAATAACTGCTTGTGGTCAGACATCGAAGAGTCCATAATCGCAAAGTAAAAGTTATTGTCTTGGAGGTTCGAGGATACATGATCTAGTATAGTTTTGCTCGTGGCTGTTTCTCGAGTGCAGTGCTTTTTATCAATTTTGTTCAATATTTTATAATTACTTTCTCTTATTGTGTTCTTATAATTACGAATAGTATTATCTGAACCTAATAAATCCAAATTAAAATCGCCGAAAACTATTGCTCTTTTCATCCTCTGGAGCTGCTCTGAATATGTCTCAAGAAAGTTACTAATGTTTGTTTTGTCGGGTTTATACACCGCACCAATATTCAAGGAAAACTTCTTAACGTATATCCAGAGATATTGTATCTCGTTGATGCAACGTTCTTCAACAAGGTTGTGCTGTAAGTTGTTGTGGACATAGATTGATACACCTCCTCTTCTATTCGATCTAAAGTTATAGTAATGCGTGTATCCTTCAATATAGAGTCTTTTAGCTTCTTCTTCGCTTTTGATCCAGGTTTCTGTCAGTATAATTAAATGTGTGGTAGATTTTAAGGAAGTAATTATACATTTAAGTTCATCAAGCCTGCCAGGCTTGACAATACTACGTACATTAGCATAAAAGAATTTAAGTGATTTTTTAGTAAAAGCCAGGTCTTCGTAATTATTTATAATTTGGTATGATATTTTCTCTGTATTCATGATTAGTTTTTTGAAGTAGGAATTGAATTTTCCGTAGATTTTATAATTTTCGGGGTGCCCTTGATATATTTGATTCTGAGATCTGCTTCGCCGTTAGCTGTTCTTTTCTGTAGATTTTCTTTTAGGTCTTGCAAGTACTTTTTTTGATATGGGGTCTGATCGGAATAAAGTTTGATGGAATCCGTGTCAAGGCTATTTTTATTTCGCAAAATTGTTTTAACAGTCTCTTCAGATGAGAAACATATTTTAATTGGTCTCGTAGTCTCCGGCTTAAATTTTCCGAGACGAAAGATTTTATCTGGTTGGATACAGTCTTTATGTATCAGGTGTATTATTTTCATAACTTCTTTCTTTTCATATTCTTGTCGTTCATGTGTTGAGTTTGATTTGCACTCGGGGATTCCAATAATTATAATATTTTTAGCACGCAGTTTCCTTTCTTGAATTTCTTTTATAATTTCTTCTTGACATACTTGTGCTGGTTTGAATTTAAGGTTATTAACATCGCCCTCTAATATTTTTATTTTTTCTTCAGTGGTTTCTGTCATAGTCTTTAGAGTAGTTATTTCGACTTTTAAATTTTTGTTTTCTGAGATGATGCTTTCGATAGTATTACTAATATTTCCGACCTCATTCTTTATATCAGCAACATCTTGACAGAGTTTATTAATGTTGTCTCTTTGATCATTGTTCGAGGACGTCAAAATTGCCATCATATCGGTCATTTGCTTTCGCAGCTCAGATAACTCATTTCTAATCACTTCATTGTCATCAGGTAATTTACGTTTGCTACGAATAGTAATTTGCGAAACATCGTTTGTGTGTAATTCAGATAAGTTTGGCTGAGAACCTCCCCGAGGCGTATTGGAGCCACTTCCAGTAGGTGAGCGTAGGCAATTCATTGTATATCTGTGTATTGTTACTACTCACGTGCGATGTGAAGAGGGCAGCACCGAGGCCTGCGCGGGATGCTCAGAAAGCTTTCGTCGCAACTACTTCGATAATCCGCAGGCAAAATGATGCACTAAGCCGGTTGCGATATGATTCAGAATAGGTTGCAGTGAATTTAATATATTTTGCAAAAATCAGCGACACGTCTGCTCTGTACCAACACTTATGTTTACCATGTACTTTTCATATTATTCATTTACCATATGATACGATACTCCTGAATCTATCACAAATTCTATAGACTTGTTCTCGTGATCTGTATTATTAACTGTGTATGCTTGTGCAGCAAAGAGAGTTATGTCTTCTTTCTGAACATGACCTTCTCCAACATTAGCACTTAGTTTTCTATTATTAATTCCTCTATAACCTCATTTTTGATAACCTCTTGTTTCAATTTCGGGCAAAATGATTTGGCTCGCCACAATTGTAACATTTCAGTGATGCACTTTGAAACACATATTCATTATGAGGGTTAGACTTTTCTTGAATGTTTTTCTGCTGGTTTTTTTCTTTCAATTCAGCATCTAACAGTTTACCTTTAATAAATTCCACTGTGAGCTTTGTATTTGACATCTCAAGTGCAGTGACTACTGGCTGGTAAGCTTCTTCTACGCTTAATAAAAGTTGACATACTATGTCTTGTTCTTCCATTTTGGTTCCATTTATTTCAATGTCTTTTATCAACTTGTCGAATTTACTGAAGTGCTCTTCAACACTGTCCTTCTTGCATTTTAGACTTAATAATTGTCTTTTTAGGTATAGGTTAGATAGTGTGCTTTTGCGTTCGAAAATATTCTTAAGATTTTCTATCATTTCATGTGCCGTGCTTGCACTTTTGACATATTCAAGATATTTGTCTGGTAGTGTTTGTATAATTGTATTTCGTGCCTTTGCGTAATTTTTAATTAACTCTTGATCTTTGTCGTCTATTTTTCTTTTTATTACCTCTCTGGCTCCTGTTTCATGCAGAGCAATCTGTATACGAAATAACCAATTTCGGAAATTTCCACTTTCTAGCTGTGGGATATTAATTAATTGGGCTGCCATTGTTATTATTTTTATATTCTGTCAATGTATTTTCTCGCTGAAATACAAACCCCTTTTTGTGACTTGCCGTGTGTGACCCTTTCTTGATGGCCGTCTTCTTTCTTTGTAATCCGAAACTTTCCTAAGGTATCCTTTGTCCATCTGACTTACGTATGGGTTCTGGGCCCATAACCTATTGGAATATAAGTAAAAGTCCCATAGTAAAGTAAGATGGTATTTAATTAGCAATAAGAAAAGCCCTAAGCATGTCCGCCGCGATACAGTACTTTTTCGAGAACGAACCACAGACTACTGTCTGTCTACCACTAAAGTGAGCACAGGGTATATATTAGTTTACCATAGACTAAACACATGTTTAATATCCAATAGAGATAACGCCTGAGTGCTACCACTGCGATGGCCAGACCGTGGACACGGCTCTCCATAAGCTGGCAGAGTGCCCGGCGTGGGTTGTGCAGAGGCGAGACCTCGTGGCGGCCATCGGAGTGGGAGTTCTCTCGCTCGATAGCCTGATTGCGGCTATCGTGCGGAGCGAAAGTGCGTAGAGCTCTGCCGTCTCCTCCTGCGAGCAAGTTATGCTCGCGAAGGAGACGGCGGAGCGGGACCGGGAGAGGTTTAGGACTCTCCCGGCCCGCCAGGCCCGGGAACGGGCCAGGTACCGCAGGCGACTCAGGCGCCGGAGGTCGCAGAACGACCTCCGTCCTCCATAAGCGCAGGCCTGGGGGTGACAGGTGAGGCCACCTGTCACTCTAGCAGAAGCAGGCCGGGGTGGCGGCGAGCGAACACACGGGGGGGTCGTCTACTCGTCTGTAGATGGCCCGAGGTATGTCGGGGCACCAGGGACTTCCATTCTAGGGTATACCTGGGTCCCCGGCTATTAGTACCCGAGACGGCGTGTGGTTTTAGTCGGTTCGAGTCCGTCATGCCACCGATAGGTGGTATCCGAGGGGATATCCGCACGGAAAAAAAAGTTATTGTTTGTTGTCGTACAACTGTGAGAAAAGTACGTGAGTGAAGTTCCGATAATCACATTTATTGTTTGGTAAGTAAGTTCATGGTTAAAGCTTTTTAATTGATCGTGATGCAAGTGCCTATCTTAAATGTACGAGTATTAATAACTACCTATTGATAATGATGCGATAATATGAGCGAGCATCTTTTAGGTGTTTGAACAACTTCTCTTTGACAATTCCGAAATCAATCAAAGTTCCGTAAAAGATTTAGGTTACCATTGTCAAAGCTCGAAAGGTCGTACTATGCTATGTCCTACCCATTAAAATTTGTAACTTTTTCGGCAACCTCGGGCTGAAAACCAAGTGAAGACTGTACTCAAACCGCCGTAAGCTTGGCCTATGGTTTGCGGGACGCGGGGCGGGGGTGCGCTCAACCGAGTCTTGTGCTTAACCGGACATCTTCAGGTTCGCACCGTAAGAGTACAATTCGTACAACGTACTAGCACACCGTAATAATACTATTAGGACAGTTTTAGTAGAAGTAGAAAACTTAAGCGTCTGTATTGATATTACTAACACTAATGAAACGGAATAAAAAAAAAGTAATTAAAAAAAAGTGTTATACAACTTTGGTGACCGCGCTTTTTCTTTTTCTTTTTTAATATAGATGGTTTTATATTAGGCAGTTGCTTTTCTTCAATATAGGAATAATTACACAGTTCTTGATTATTTTTAATGTGTTAGCCCTTTCTGAATCCCATAAAATACGAATTTTTAGATTACTTCACATCAAAATTTTAAACATGTGTATTTGATTTTCCTTCATATTTTACAACCCGACGTATTGTAGTACATCCTGTATCGCTGTCCCTTTACTCTCACACTGTTTACCAATACGGAACAATAAAGCGGAGCATTAATAGTACCTACGTCGCACAACGAACGAACGCAGACACTAGTAGACAGAGTAAACAACAGCACTGCAAACTAGAGAAGAAAAACTTGAAACAAAATCTATACCAACCCTAAAACTCTCTCTCTCTCTCCTCTGTTAACAATATTCAAAAACGAAACTATTAAACGAAATATTTAAAAAAAATTGAAAACGGTCAAAGAAAGAATCTAAACCTTTATATATTTTATATTATTATTATTTTTCGGACGTCTGACACACAACTCCATCTAGTTTCTTTACAAGTCGAATATTTCTTTACAAAATCCGCCTAAGTCGAATACCTCCGTAAGTCTAAAACTCTATGACTAGAATTACATACTTACACAAGTTTTACTGTTTAAAATTCTAATGAAGAATATTGATTTTACTTCAAAATTAAATTATATATAAAAATATTATGATCAAGAATGTGATTTTATAAAAAATATTTTACAAGTATTCAAATTTTAAAATTAATCATTAAAACTTACAATATACTGAATTTATAATATATGGAATTAAATACGATTTTTATTACATCGTGTGTAAATATCTGAAGATATCGAGTTATCGTGTCGTGTATAGCCGAGCGCATCACTCGGCCCGCGTCCCGCAAACCATCGGGAGGGCCAAGCTTACGGCGGCGGCGGTTTGACTATAACCATGCCGATATCTTTTTTAATAAAAAAAGGAATAATAATAAGTTACACTTACAGCAAAAATGTAACATTTCAAGGAACGAAACGTAACTTACGACTCAAGAGCCCTGGCAACACTACTTGTCTAATGTCTTAAATATATAAAATAGTTATAATACTTATAAAATAAGTTTTCTGCGGATGCGGAGCATTCTGTGAAACATTGTGCACGAAATTACTTAAAGTTAGGATGAAACAGTGGTCTGTAGTACTAAGAAGCGTGGACTCACCATAGAATAAATAATGGAAAGGCTTTCGATGTGCAGAGTTTGTTTACGAGAAGACATTCGTCTGGTTTCGATCGTCGAAACTCATCTACAAGAAATGTACGAGTCTTTGGTTATGATGCCGGTAAGTAATTACAAAATCTACATTTAAATCGTGGTTGTTTTGTAGAATTTCTCGCTCTCGAGACATGTGTGAGAATCTTCAATATTGTTTTTATACCTTGGCATAATACGAAAAGTTTCAAAAGGCTATCATGGGAATTTCCCATGTATTTAGTGACGAATGTGTTGTGCCTTGTTGATAAAAGTGTCTGTTTGAATGAGGTTAAGTATTCAACAACAAAAGCGTGATGATTATCAGCCCTCCTCCACGGCTTTCTTTGCCGTGTATCACTGTTACCATCTGCTTATATTTTTCTTTAAGATAAACGCGAGTCTGATATTTGAGAATGGTTAAAGCAATATAAATGTACTCTTTAGAGTACTATTTTTCTTACAAGATACATAAAAACTAACGATAATATAATCTTTATTAACACAATAATAGTACTTTTACTGAATCATAAAAAATAAATCAACAAAAACTTCAAAACTTTTTCTTTTTCTTATAATTAGGATATTTTTACAAAAATCAACTAGTTTTAAACTTTTTTTCAAAAATTAAATTAACTTGTAATAATACTATATTAGTCTCATAAAAAAAAATAGCCTTTATAGACAGTCTTGACAAATATCAATATTGTGTTCTCCGCATATGGCCTTTTGGCATTTGCAACACTGCGCTTTAGTCATCCGCCTATTTTTATATGAACAAAATCCGCAATAGCGTCGTTTCTTTGGTTCTGGCTCATCATTACTATTTTCTGGAGATGCTGGTACCACATTTTTTAAAACATTTGTTATATTGTCACGTAGAGTCCTCTTCAAAGTGGGCGCCTCCAGTCGTTTTTGCATCCAAGGTGCCGTCAAGTCTGTGCTTAATTTTTTCATAAAATCTTTGCGGCTCATTGGTTTTTCTTGTTTATTTATCTTATTATGACAGTATATGATATAGGAGTTCACCAAAGCCATATTTAACATTCCGTAAAATACGGAATGTTAAATATGGCTCTCTCGGCTCATTACCGATACATACCGGGTGCCAGAGAATGAAGCGTCAAACAACTCATCAGTTGAGAGGTGGTTATCTTTCATAACAGCCGTCAGAGTGAGTATTCCAATTAACGACCAGACCTCCATTGCATTTGTATCACTATAGCTTGCCGAAATTTCATTCAAATTTTGTCGTTTTATTATCATCTCCACATTTGTCCACTTGACTATTTCATCAACTATCTCGTCCGTTATAAAAAGTTGAAAACAGAGCAAAGGGTCAAAAACATTGCTACACATTCGCGTTGGTCCTCTATTTGTACGTATAATATTGATAGCAGAAGTCCTTCCCGTCGTACGTCCCTTTGTAGTTGACCATACATGGTTATTTTTGCCACGTATTGACCGCTGAGGCAATGTAATAATTCTATGTGAAGTAGATGAAGTTACCTCAAGATTAGTCGATTCCAGAGAAGCAACATGGTTTTCGGGGTCATCTTGTCTGCTTGTAGGGCTTGTATCCTCAGTGAAGTCGACCATCGCGTCTTCGTTATCACTCCTGACATCATCTTCAACTAAACAATCTTCTTGCTCGGAGTCCGAATCCAGCGGAGAATAATCGTCATTATTTTCTAACATTGAAGCTATTTCGTCCTGGTTTAGATGTTGGCGGGACCCCATCTTGTATTCAACCTAAAATAAATAGTATATTATGAGTAATGTGCCTAAACTAAACAATAAACTCAAATAAATCACTACAATAAAAAATTGGAAACCATTACAAAAGTTACGCAAAGCCCAATTATACGTCGAAATGACGTGCAACATCGTCATTGCAACAAAATGGCGGAACTTACTAAGATGGCGCAACCGTGTCCTGCGAGGTCTTGACGGCTACTGAGTTGGTTCGGGAGTTCGAAGCGATCCGATGGTAAACGTGAAAGAGATAGAGATATTTCGCCGCGGTATACGTCTATTTTACGTAGATTGGGCTTCTAGGGTTAATAAAAGTTGACATACTATGTCTTGTTCTTCCATTTTGGTTCCATTTATTTCAATGTCTTTTATCAACTTGTCGAATTTACTGAAGTGCTCTTCAACACTGTCCTTCTTGCATTTTAGACTTAATAATTGTCTTTTTAGGTATAGGTTAGATAGTGTGCTTTTGCGTTCGAAAATATTCTTAAGATTTTCTATCATTTCATGTGCCGTGCTTGCACTTTTGACATATTCAAGATATTTGTCTGGTAGTGTTTGTATAATTGTATTTCGTGCCTTTGCGTAATTTTTAATTAACTCTTGATCTTTGTCGTCTATTTTTCTTTTTATTACCTCTCTGGCTCCTGTTTCATGCAGAGCAATCTGTATACGAAATAACCAATTTCGGAAATTTCCACTTTCTAGCTGTGGGATATTAATTAATTGGGCTGCCATTGTTATTATTTTTATATTCTGTCAATGTATTTTCTCGCTGAAATACAAACCCCTTTTTGTGACTTGCCGTGTGTGACCCTTTCTTGATGGCCGTCTTCTTTCTTTGTAATCCGAAACTTTCCTAAGGTATCCTTTGTCCATCTGACTTACGTATGGGTTCTGGGCCCATAACCTATTGGAATATAAGTAAAAGTCCCATAGTAAAGTAAGATGGTATTTAATTAGCAATAAGAAAAGCCCTAAGCATGTCCGCCGCGATACAGTACTTTTTCGAGAACGAACCACAGACTACTGTCTGTCTACCACTAAAGTGAGCACAGGGTATATATTAGTTTACCATAGACTAAACACATGTTTAATATCCAATAGAGATAACGCCTGAGTGCTACCACTGCGATGGCCAGACCGTGGACACGGCTCTCCATAAGCTGGCAGAGTGCCCGGCGTGGGTTGTGCAGAGGCGAGACCTCGTGGCGGCCATCGGAGTGGGAGTTCTCTCGCTCGATAGCCTGATTGCGGCTATCGTGCGGAGCGAAAGTGCGTAGAGCTCTGCCGTCTCCTCCTGCGAGCAAGTTATGCTCGCGAAGGAGACGGCGGAGCGGGACCGGGAGAGGTTTAGGACTCTCCCGGCCCGCCAGGCCCGGGAACGGGCCAGGTACCGCAGGCGACTCAGGCGCCGGAGGTCGCAGAACGACCTCCGTCCTCCATAAGCGCAGGCCTGGGGGTGACAGGTGAGGCCACCTGTCACTCTAGCAGAAGCAGGCCGGGGTGGCGGCGAGCGAACACACGGGGGGGGTCGTCTACTCGTCTGTAGATGGCCCGAGGTATGTCGGGGCACCAGGGACTTCCATTCTAGGGTATACCTGGGTCCCCGGCTATTAGTACCCGAGACGGCGTGTGGTTTTAGTCGGTTCGAGTCCGTCATGCCACCGATAGGTGGTATCCGAGGGGATATCCGCACGGAAAAAAAAGTTATTGTTTGTTGTCGTACAACTGTGAGAAAAGTACGTGAGTGAAGTTCCGATAATCACATTTATTGTTTGGTAAGTAAGTTCATGGTTAAAGCTTTTTAATTGATCGTGATGCAAGTGCCTATCTTAAATGTACGAGTATTAATAACTACCTATTGATAATGATGCGATAATATGAGCGAGCATCTTTTAGGTGTTTGAACAACTTCTCTTTGACAATTCCGAAATCAATCAAAGTTCCGTAAAAGATTTAGGTTACCATTGTCAAAGCTCGAAAGGTCGTACTATGCTATGTCCTACCCATTAAAATTTGTAACTTTTTCGGCAACCTCGGGCTGAAAACCAAGTGAAGACTGTACTCAAACCGCCGTAAGCTTGGCCTATGGTTTGCGGGACGCGGGGCGGGGGTGCGCTCAACCGAGTCTTGTGCTTAACCGGACATCTTCAGGTTCGCACCGTAAGAGTACAATTCGTACAACGTACTAGCACACCGTAATAATACTATTAGGACAGTTTTAGTAGAAGTAGAAAACTTAAGCGTCTGTATTGATATTACTAACACTAATGAAACGGAATAAAAAAAAAGTAATTAAAAAAAAAGTGTTATACAACTTTGGTGACCGCGCTTTTTCTTTTTCTTTTTTAATATAGATGGTTTTATATTAGGCAGTTGCTTTTCTTCAATATAGGAATAATTACACAGTTCTTGATTATTTTTAATGTGTTAGCCCTTTCTGAATCCCATAAAATACGAATTTTTAGATTACTTCACATCAAAATTTTAAACATGTGTATTTGATTTTCCTTCATATTTTACAACCCGACGTATTGTAGTACATCCTGTATCGCTGTCCCTTTACTCTCACACTGTTTACCAATACGGAACAATAAAGCGGAGCATTAATAGTACCTACGTCGCACAACGAACGAACGCAGACACTAGTAGACAGAGTAAACAACAGCACTGCAAACTAGAGAAGAAAAACTTGAAACAAAATCTATACCAACCCTAAAACTCTCTCTCTCTCTCCTCTGTTAACAATATTCAAAAACGAAACTATTAAACGAAATATTTAAAAAAAATTGAAAACGGTCAAAGAAAGAATCTAAACCTTTATATATTTTATATTATTATTATTTTTCGGACGTCTGACACACAACTCCATCTAGTTTCTTTACAAGTCGAATATTTCTTTACAAAATCCGCCTAAGTCGAATACCTCCGTAAGTCTAAAACTCTATGACTAGAATTACATACTTACACAAGTTTTACTGTTTAAAATTCTAATGAAGAATATTGATTTTACTTCAAAATTAAATTATATATAAAAATATTATGATCAAGAATGTGATTTTATAAAAAATATTTTACAAGTATTCAAATTTTAAAATTAATCATTAAAACTTACAATATACTGAATTTATAATATATGGAATTAAATACGATTTTTATTACATCGTGTGTAAATATCTGAAGATATCGAGTTATCGTGTCGTGTATAGCCGAGCGCATCACTCGGCCCGCGTCCCGCAAACCATCGGGAGGGCCAAGCTTACGGCGGCGGCGGTTTGACTATAACCATGCCGATATCTTTTTTAATAAAAAAAGGAATAATAATAAGTTACACTTACAGCAAAAATGTAACATTTCAAGGAACGAAACGTAACTTACGACTCAAGAGCCCTGGCAACACTACTTGTCTAATGTCTTAAATATATAAAATAGTTATAATACTTATAAAATAAGTTTTCTGCGGATGCGGAGCATTCTGTGAAACATTGTGCACGAAATTACTTAAAGTTAGGATGAAACAGTGGTCTGTAGTACTAAGAAGCGTGGACTCACCATAGAATAAATAATGGAAAGGCTTTCGATGTGCAGAGTTTGTTTACGAGAAGACATTCGTCTGGTTTCGATCGTCGAAACTCATCTACAAAGTAGAATGTAACGTACCTTGGCTATACGAAATT